GGGGTCCTGGTGGTTTGTGGGGGGTGTTGGTGGTGGACGAGTGAAGGGGGGTCTTGATGATTTACAGGGGGGGTATGCTGTTGGTCTACCTCTGGCTCACATGAATGTGGCCTAATACCAACTTCTTGTAGCACTACAACTTTCAGCCATCCCTTAAGGTTTCAGAACCTCTGGGATTTGTGACTGCATTAGGCACAGGGGGTCATTTCAGTTTGTTGTAGAAGTTCAGAGGGCAATAAATCTACACTGCTCAGATCAGCAAATGCTCCTACCACCCAGAGGGGGATCTGTGAAGATGATCCCAAGGTCAGCGTTTCTATAATAGAAACATCACATTCCTTACCAGCATTCCTAATGGGGCCCCTCTCCTACCCCCAGGCCCCACAGCGGCTGTGTGGTCTGCTGTGGCTATTGTTATTCCACTGGTTCTGGGACCTGTTGTCTAAATGCATCTGTAGAGCCATGCATGCCCGATATGTAACCACCAAACTCCCCCAATCCACCTACCTGATCCCTTTATGCTCCTCCATTGTTGCTGCAGTGTAAAGGAAGAAGTGAGTTTTGTCCTACGCCAGTGCCTGGGGCAGTCCTGTGATATGTGAATCATTGCAGGAAATCAGCCAGTTCCCCGTCACATGACTCCGCTGTACTTCAGTTTTTCTTTCACTTCTCTTGTGCAACAATGTAATCCGCTTCTTTATTATTGCAGCACTGAAAGCCAGCAGACAAGAAGCCGGAGAGCCGGGGGAAACATTTTCCAGGGGCAACTTGCTGCTATCAGGGTATTCCAGCTGATCAGGAAATGTATCTGTATAATTGTATGTTGCTGTTTGTATCCCCATGAAGAAGATTCCTCTGACCAAGTGACGGGTCTCAGAGCAGGAAGAGACGAGAAATCTCGATGGGGGATATAGACAGCGTAACACAAAAACACAAAACTCCATGCAGACATAAAAGGCAGAAACGAATGCAACTCTGTAATCCTAAATACATCACTAAATGTATATTTTATATTTATTTGTTTTTTAATCCGAGCAATAGAAGTACCAGAATTTGACTTGGTATCCCCCTGTGCAGCAGAGCTTAGCCTGAGAGAGGGAGAAGCAGCAAAAAGGAGTCTGTCAGGCGTGATGCAGTGCAAGGACCATGCTGATAGGAGGACAGAGCAGAATGACAGAGGGATGAACTCATCAGTGAGTTGCTTCTCTTTTAACTGTTCATTCACAGAGTGCGGGTGGGCAGGGAACCTATAAGTGAAAGTGAACCTGCAGAAGAGGAAGATCAGGCCCTCTTCCCTGCCAGGGTAAGAGTGGTTAGGGAACCTGTAAGTGACCTCGTCCTATACCTTCCACCTTTCTGAAGTGAGAACTATGGAGAACACCTTTGAGCACAATGTAGCAAAGAGACAAACAAAGAAATACCTTGTCACACTCCTTACCGGACCAAAGAGTTTGTTTATTGGAACGTCATGTCACCAAAACTAGCGCTTTCGGGGGCCACGCAGGGTCCCCTTCATCAGACTCAGCAATTACACGATTTCGTGGCCCCGAAAGCGCTAGTTTTGGTGACATGACGTTCCAATAAACAAACTCTTTGGACTGCAATACTGTTGGTGTGCTGGTGACATTTATTCATCTTTATACAATGTAGCAAAGGACACACCCATGCCACGCCCCCGTGGACCATGAACAATTAAAGGAGAACTATGAGGTGATTTTCACTCATCCTCATAGTTCTAGCCGACCTGTGACAATGAGACTGTTACAGGTCGGCTCTAGAGATCGGGAAGTGAGCGAACACATACCGTCGCTCGCTCACTTCTCGATCCTGTCCCTGCAGAGAGTGGTGACTGTCACTCACGGCTCCCTGCAGGGATTCCCCCCCTCCCTCCCCACTTCGATCCTCCAGCGCTGGCGGAACAGATGGAGGGGGGGCGGGTACAGCTGGCTCTGCCTCTAGATAGGCAGAGCCAGCTGTCACTCACGCAGCTGGGCGGATCCAAACAGAATTGTTGGGATCTGTTTCAGCTGCGGCGTCTCAGTATACCGCGAGCAGCAGCTCGTGATATACTGAGCCTAGGGTGACAGGAGGACGCTAGTTTGTGTCCTCCCGTTACCCTTAGGAGAACTATGGGGAAAAGCCTTAACCCCATAGTTCTCCTTTAAGATGAAAAAAAATTATAGGTTGAACCCCCACATTGGGCGCCTTGTTGCCCATATACTGCAGCATATGACATTTACAGGTGTCGTCTATCTATTCATAACTGCACATAGAAGTATAAATCTTGATGAGGCATCAGGACGAAGCCCCAGGAGGAGGGGCAAAACGCTTCAACGTCTCTGTGTGTGCGTGGACGACCCGGATCCACCGAGGATCATGCAGACATTATCTCAGCATGTCCTCTTAAACTGATTACACACCATGAACTGACAACTCTTCCACCATTTGATGTTCCAACCAAGGGGAAAACCGGTTAGTACCCACTGTGCAGCCCTCGAACTAGATCGTCATACTTGAAAGGAAATCTTTCCGGGAAAAGAAACCTAAACTGGATACCTGGGATTACGTGCAACGTCCATGAGCCGGCTCCTTGATAACCAATCCGGGAAGATCGTGAGTTATACATAGTTGCAATTACAATCTCTATCCGAGAAATGTTGAATAGATCTTTTGGATCCATATACGTGAAATCGTGTTAGTGATTCTTACATGTGAGCAGATTTGACATCCTCGGTAGACGGAACAAATCAATGACAGAAAGACCAATCTGGATAAAATGTTGTATGATACTACTGCCTACACTCTATCCATGTACTATATCTCGGCTAAACATCTATAAAAGGAATGAGAAATGACCCACTAGGTCCCCTTTAAATTCACATCGACAATCCATGACGGATAAATAACTGCAAGCCGAGATATTGCTATCTGACAGAAAACCGAGATATGGCTATCTCCTGATGAACTGGGTTTATAATACGAAGAGAGGCAGTCTTCAACCCCATCTATCAGTTTTGGTGAAGACAGGGTTAACCCACTAGGTATGAATGTGGTTGTACATGTAAGACAACGTTGTTGATTTTCTTCTGGAGTTGGTGCATTTTTTTCTATGCATAAAATAAAGCTATATTTTTTTTCTATTTATGGTCTGAATTAACTCCTTCCGGTCAGCGCACAGAACGGTGCTTGTAATCACACGCAGCACCTGTCCTTCCCGGGAACTGCCTGATACGACCGTGCACACAGCACAGAGCTGCACATGCCGGCCGATTCCAGTGTGAATGAGGCCTATGGGGTTGATTTATGAGGAATTTGCGGGGTCATTCGCCCCCGAGACTATCTGCGAATGTTCATCCTGAGCAAATATATCTACAAAGGAACGTTCTTTTGTTTTTCCTTTATAAGTGTCATTAGATTCAGTCAGATGTTCTGATTGTAATCTGAGAGAGACCATAACGCACACGCGCACACACACACTGGTTGAACTTGATGGACCTGTGTCTTTATTCAACCTCAAATACTATGTAATGTCACATTGTGGCCACTAGATGGCGATAAAGATATAGGGATAAGGAATGGGTAAGGTGTTCTGCAGTCCTGTCCTAGGGTGACACGTTGTTCCTCCATAGCAATATAGACAGTATACTGAGTGAGCAGTGTCACCCTAAGACAGAAGTGTGTTACTGGTGAAGGTAGATGGAAAAGGAAAACTAATGCAACCATCAGAGGCGTTAACAGTGGTAGAATTTTTTTTTTTCAACCTGAATTTGCAATTCAATTTATTTTTTTTATTGCAAATTGCCATTAGGTCATCGGGGGCAGTTTTTTGAAGGTCACTTTGCCTAGACACGCTATTGTCACCCAGATGGCACATCAGTCACTGTCCTCAGAGAGCCTACAATCTAAGGTCCCCATTGCACACACATACAAAGTGCCAATTTAGACGTTCCAGCACGTCTTTGGAGTGTGGGAGGTAACTAGAGGAAATCCACGCAACTAGCAGATTGCCCTGACCGGGATTTCAACCAGCGACCCGAGAGCTGCAAGGCAGAAGTGTGAGGTGCTCCCAGTGTCCAGGGAAATCAGAGGAAGCAATTTCAGTCTAGGAGAGGAGCCAGTACAACTGTGCAAGACTGAAGGGAAGGCCGGAGGTCAGATACAAGACTGAAGTGAAGGCCGGAGGTCAGATACAAGACTGAAGGGAAGGCCGGAGGTCAGATACAAGACTGAAGGGAAGGCCGGAGGTCAGATACAAGACTGAAGAGAAGGCCGGAGGTCAGATATAAGACTGAAGGGAAGGACGGAGGTCAGATAGAAGACTGAAGGGAAGGACGGAGGTCACATATAAGACTGAAGGGAAGGACGGAGGTCAGATAGAAGACTGAAGGGAAGGACGGAGGTCAGATAGAAGACTGAAGGGAAGGACGGAGGTCAGATATAAGACTGAAGGGAGGTCAGATTTAAAAGATAAAAATGAGGTTCAATGCATTTTGTTAGATTCAAATAAAAATAAAAGAAACACACAATTGTTTTTTTATAATAAAAATGTTTGTTGTATTATTTCCCAATAAAAAGAAATGGTGAACACAATGAAAAGTTTTCCCCCAAAAAAATATAAAACATCACAGTTTGTTACATGAATTTGTTTTTTGCAGGTTGTATTTTTTACATTTGTAGCAGCGAAGACAAAGTGAGATCGTGACAAAACGTTCACCCTCCAAAATCTCCACTTTCAGCTTCATGAAGAATGGATTTGTACGCGTTGTTCTGTCAGAACTGAAATATAAAATCTTTATAGAACTAAAAAGCTATTTAGTTTTAAAAAGTTAAACAAAAAAACATTATGGCTTCTTCCAGCCATTCTATAATAATCCCATGAGAAAGTCCTGAAGAGATCTGTCTGTGTCCACACACACACAACTGAAATATCAAGTTTGGCCGGTCTTGCGCTTTAAAAGGCACTGGTCAACCCAGATGGCTGTGTGCGGTGCTCAGAGGATTACACAGCAGCAGGTGGACGGATAATCTTTGGTCTCCACTTTATTCTCCCGTCCGTAGACAAAGTACTTGCAGCTCTTCCCCTTCCAGTTGTACTCCACCTTGGTGAGGGGCAGCCACTCTATGGTCTGTCGCTGGAGACACAAAAAAAGAGATTTTAGGATCAAAGTTCATCATGGTCAGTGCAGTGTGATCGCTACAATGTTACCAGGCAGGATGCTTAGGATACATTTTGTTTTGTTGGCTAGCAAACACTTAAGAGGGGTATTTATATAAAAATCCATGTTGAGAAACTGCTGTGTACATTCACTCATTTGCAAATAAGTGTTATTGGTGGGTTTTTCGCTCCAGGTCAAATGTAAATCATTCATACAATTAGGGGGAAATCAGGAATATACCACATTATGGCCAGTAGATGGTGGCAAGGATCATAGGAGATGAGCATGTCTTTCCTATGATCTTCAGCTCCATCTAGTGGCCATAATCTGGTATTTTCCTGATCCCCTCTAATTTTATGAATGAAATACATTGAACCTGATATGAGAGTATATTAATATTCAGCACATCCCTATAATGAGGCATCTCACTGGGTCATGTCGGGTGGGGGTTAGCCTCAGTGTCCTAGGTTGCAAAGAGCTCTTAGCAACCTGTGACGTTCTGGCTGACGTCCTCGCCCAGCTCACCAACATCACTGGCCGCTTCTCGGCCTTTTGGCTAAGATCAAGTGTAGTATCTGTTCTTATCAGTTTTCGGTGCGGAAAAGAACCGTCCTTGCGGGGGGATGGCTACTTAGTACTCGCTGGAGTGAAAGAGCGTGTGGGGCTGCTTCCTGTGAGAGGGGAACAGCTCGGTACATGGCTTTCTAACTGAACAGACGCAAAGCTTGGTCTGGCTGGAGGTTTGGGGGGCGGCAGAAGCCCGTGGTGTTGTGCCCCCTGGGGGTGGCGTCCCAGAGGTGCATCAGAAAATCACTAGGGTGTGGGACCCCACAAGTGATTCACTGTGCACTTGGACACGACACCATATTGCTATTTTCTGCACATTGCCTCCGTGACAGGCCTTATGGCTAGTCCGGGGCAATATTTTTGCACTCCGGCCCCTAAGGCCTGTCAGCGTGGTGCACTGGCACCCTTGTGCACGTTTTTGTGTGCTGTGATTTCACGGTTCACTTTTTTGTTCACAGGGGTTTGTTTACAATGCACGTTCCACTGGCTTTAAAAAAAAAAGCCAGGTTGCCAGGAGCTGATCACGACGCTCTGGCTGTCATCCAATGATATCATTGAGCTGGGCGGGACGCTAGCCAGAGCCAGACCCTGAGGTAGCACTAACCCCCCCTTGGTAAAAAAACAAATGGGGCTCCAAAGGGAGAGGCAGGCACACTGCTGTCCCCCCCCCATGTGACCCAAAGAGTTGCCACCTCAGGCAAGATGAAGTGCTATGTACATGTGAATGGAGTCTTTGGAGATCTGAGCAAGTCTCAGAGTCAAGAAAACAACAAGATACAATGTATCGCCGTCCATACCTGCTTCAGTATCCGGCAGCTGGAGATGAACTGGGAGTAATGCTGCTGGACGGCCGTCTGAGAAGCCTGATTGATGGAAGCGTCCGGGAAATTCACCAGAGGCGGCACCTATGCGAACAAACAAAAAAATCACAATGCAAAAATAGTTCCCAGAATGCAACTCTTTCACATTGCCCTGCAGAGTACAAATCGAAGAAAACTTATACATTTTCATTTATTTTTTCTCATCTTTTAATTTAATTTTTATTCCTAAAAATTGAAAAATTGCCAACGTATTATTTATTAATGTTAGAGCCACATTGTCTCTGCTCCCCAAGGGCCCTTCTCTTGAAATAATTCCACACCGGTTACTTTCTTAAACAGGTCGGTGGGGAATTCAGAGTTTTGGGCAGGTATGAACTCATACAGGTTGTTCTTCCTACAAAATAAAATGTCACACTGTTGGCCGGGCCCATCGTCACAAACACTGGACAAAGTCCGAAAAGCCCCACTTACAAATCTCTATACTATGCCCCCATATGTCAAACCACACCCCCTTCCGGCCCCCAAGGAACAGAAGCTTAGAGATTTGAATAGTCGGGATTCAGCAAACCTCCTGTAGCTTTACTTACTGCTATACAGTATCGGTGACAACAATATTGTATACTCACCATGCAACAGTCATCTCAATATAGGAGACAACTTGCCCCTTCCCAGCACAGCCAGGGCAGGTCTGTACGTTTGTCTGGTTGCAGGTTTTGCATCTGTACAGAGAAAAAAGAAATTGGGCCATTTTAAGGGTTTGACTGTGTTCCATTGGGGGAATTTCCCTTCATTTCCTGTCTGATAGTCACAACAGGAAGTGAGAGGGCAGAGAGAGGGAACCCCCCCCCTAAATTGAGGGAAAGCCTCAATTTTTCCCAATCTATTCCTGTTCTGGTAACAAACCAAAATTTGGGGATTTTTTTTCACTTTCAGTGATAATGGTCACCAGGACACAGAGGGTGACTCTCCTTAATGGGGACCACAAAAAAAAAAAAA